TGTTGCCGCTTCAGCTCTCTGTTCACGTGTCGGAAAAAACAGGAGGGGGAAAAGCAGCCGGAGGCTTCGCAGCTGCGAGGGGGCTTGAGCAGAGCTCCGGTCCGCGGCCGCGCGCGGCGCGAGGCCGGCAAAACAAAAGCGGTTTCGCCAACGTTTGCATTTTTTGCATGTATTTGCCAGCCAGGAATGGAAAAAGAGGAAAGTGTGTGTGTGCGGGGGGCTCGTGGCGTTCCCAGCGTGTTGCAATGCTGCATCTGAGCTGCACCAGAAGAGGAACCGAAAGTTTTACGGCGGCAGCGGTTTGTGACAGCACTGGGGCTCCTTGGGAGCAAAAATGGCTCTGTTGGTGTCTTGGTGACAGAAACACCAATTTTGCACAGATTTCTTCCTTTTTTCTCTTACTTTTTTCCCAAAGAGGCTCCGTTGCTGCAAGCAGCTCCAAACCCGCTGCCGAACCCGAGGTTCTTCCAACCCTGCTTGTAAATATTTCCCGTACAGCTGGTGGCTCCTTGGCTGCTCCTCCCCATCCCCTTCCACCTTTAGCACTCATGCAGCGACACGCGGATAAATTAACCTTTTCCCACCATTTTCTGGGCACCAATAGGGAGCGGCAGGGCCCAGTGCCACCGGAGGAAATGCAATTTATTCTTGCTGTCCGCCCAGCGACTTCTCACCCTTAAAGAGCTTCCCAGCAGCTGCAAAACCCTTTTAGCGCTTGGCAGGAGAGGCCTCCCGAGGTGCCCCGGAGGCGAAAAAATCCCTGAAATAACTTCTTCCCTTTGCCTGGGAAGGCGCTGACGCTGCAGAGCAGCAGGGTTGAATGAAAGGCCTCCGGCTCGGAAGATAAAATGAAGCAGGAAAAAGCCCGACAAATTGAGGCTGTTTCCACGTTCGCGGCTGGAAAACGTGCGTGGGAGGAGCCGCTCCGGGGGCTTCTTGCGCCCGCGCGGAGGTGACGTGGGGGCTGCAGCCTCCGTGCCACCCGCGCGGTGATCCGGGCAGGGACGGGGCGTCCCCCGGAGCGGCCCTTGGCGGCACCGGGGCCTGTGTGCAGGCGGTGCCGCGAGCGCCACGCTGGGGTTCGCGCCTGCGGGGACCCTGCTTTGGCCTTGGCTCCTTCTCCAAGATGTTTTCCGGCTCGTGTTATCTATGGAAAGCGTTCGCCAGCCTCTCTGTTCCCGTTAGCTTTTGCTAAGGCTTTAAATAATGCACAAGAGCAGTCTCGGGTTAAATTTATTGAACACTCGCTTAGATTTTATTTAACAGCGACTGTCTATAGCTCCGTGGCATCTCTCTACACTGTGTGCCTATAAATATAGGTGTATATATGTATATATTACTATGTGCTGTGGACAGGGCAATGGGCGAGGGCCAAGAGCAGACCCCGGGGTGTCGTGTCCTGCGCCGGCCGAGGGGGCTCCCGCGGGGCAGGGGGACACGGGAG